CATTCCATTCATGCATTCAATATTCTTTTTTATTGTTAACGGATTCACTGAAATGCTCATCATCACTGAACAACGTATTTAACACTACATGTCACTTTTAAAAGACTGATAAGAGTTAATCCTTTCCTTTGCGGATTATCAAGAACCAACAAAAAGCATGCCATCTAATATAATGATTAGGCTAAAGTTTGCTTTGTAATTCGTTATTAAGAAACGATTTTATCTTCCCAGCAACCAAGGTAGGGTCATTAAGATGGACAAAATGATTACCAGGAACTTCACAATATTCGTAGAAAATGGCACTGTTTTGAAGAACTTCGAATCTTTCTTTGATAAAATTGTGCTGAATTCTGAACACGGGATGGCATTGCAAGCCCTGTATGGCAAGCACACGACATTTCACGCGAGAAAGAACCGACTTGATAAGTTCTTGACTTGTGGCAACATAATTCCCTTGTACATCTCTCAATGCCGCAGCTTTTAGTCGTGATTCATTGACCATCACAACCTTCCCGTTTGTTGTTAAATTTCTTTTCGCTAAAGCAGTAGCAGATTCTTTATTCAGCTCGGGATTACTCTTAAGCATTCTGGAAACCAAAGCTTCTTGACTTGGAAAAACTTTGATTCCATTTGTCTCCCTGTGGTCGCTTACCAAATGCTGTGCACAACTTGCTAAGACTTTGCTGGCATCTTGGTATTTCACCACCGAAGGCCCACGAAACTCGATGAGAATAAGGTCTAGAATTTCGCTATTAAAAGCTCCAGCATAGAGRGCTGCTACACCTGCACCCATACTGTGGCCAATCAAGGARAATCTCTTCCAWCCAAGCTGTGATACAACCCATTTTACGTCTATAACCCAGTCGAAGAAAGTGTATGGTACACCTAAAGGTCGACACGATGACCGTCCATGACCTGGGAAATCAATAGYTACAAAATAGATGTTCTTTGGCAATAATGGAGCAAGTTTGTCGAAGGTATTCGCATTRTCTAGCCATCCATGTAAACCTAGAAATGGCTTTCCAGAAGGATKACCCCAGCATTTGGCTTGAATGACACCCCAGGGAACAGAAAAGGACAACTCCGTATACTCCATACCGGCCAAGACAATTAAGCATCTGAGCAAACAATGAATAATTATGTGGATGATGTAAATAAACAAAGCGACAGAGGTAGCCAATCACAATTGACWGATCCCGATTCTTTGTCCTACGTCCCTAGTCACTAYACATGTATTGTATTACTACGTCGGACAGCGAAAATATTCCTYTGATATAGAGCATGGAAAGATATCGATTGCTGCGATATGTACCAACTTGGCTTGTGTGTTATGTTTTTTACATTTTCATTAGGAAAAGCTAATAAATTTAGTAAAATATTCGATTTTGTGTTTATTGCTCAAACAGTTTTGATTCCACTGGGAAAACTGCTCATTGTCTGGTGATAAATCCATCGTGAAGAAAGGGTCGGTGAATTAAGAAGGCGTTAAAAAACTGAACGGTACAAAAAATCAGTTTTCGAGTCCCTTTTCACCATTTTTATGAATTTYAAAACTGATTACATACACAAGTATCGTATCGTTTTAGTTTAATAAATATTTCTATATTCTTGCTTATACAGCCTTTTGCACAAATTATGAGACATTTATATATATATAAATATACCTAACCAAATATCAAAAACACCCAAGAAATTATGGGATACTGTCGCTGATATTTTGTCTGTAACAACCTGATGCTAGGCAATCATGACAAAATATAATAGAGATATACCATAATTTCTGGGGTGTTTTTGATATTTGGTTAGGTATATTTATATATATAAAAATGTCTCATAATTTGTGCAAAAGGCTGTATCTTAAAATTTTAAATATAATTTGTCCATCTAATGTTCGCGGTGGTTTTATATCCATCTCTTCGCTACAGCGTCTGTGTATATTTTCACAAACTCATCACTTCTTTCTTGGTTTTCTGCTTTAAACTCGGCCGTGAGTATATTAGTTTCTCCGTCGATATTTGTTTCTATAAAAAATAGTCCACTGTCGACTTCCTGCAAGATAACGAAACTAAAATCAATAACAGACAAAAATGGGCTCTTAATTTTGCAGTTCTCGAAAGAAATGAARCTGAGGAGTTAGCTTTTAAAAAGAGAGCGAGTGAAAGGCAACTTGCCGCGTTTCTACGCCATACAGATGCATAAGTTACCTGCTGTGCATAGTGGAAGTATTTTTGCGTTTTATTGCTGACACCAAAAGCCATCATGACAATATTTTGTTCCAATAAAAYTCTTTCGAAGTCATTGGGTATTGCAGGGGTGCTTGTCAAATTTAATGTGATTTTGGAGCTGGTCGGTAATGCAATCCATTTTTGCTGAAAATCAGAACGCGAGACAGATGGTTCCGCTACTAATTGTAACTTTGTKGCAGATTCTTCATTTGATGAAATATGGAAATCCCCCTATTAGAAAAACACACGAAAGAGCAACTGTGAACATCAATAAGTATACTATTTAAGGCGGCAAAATACGAGATACAAAAACCATCAACTTGGAGTGCAACATTGTTTCTGTTCAAGTTTAGGTTCGATGTTTCTCGTTTTTTATCGCGTGCGATCAACTTGGCACGCAACATCAATCTCGAAGAAAAACGAGAAACAAAGTGAAAATTTGTATCTGAAAGTAGAGCGAGAGTCTACTTTGCGCAACAACTTTCTTCAACTCGCAACAGAGGCGGAAGCCGCCACTTTTTCGATGAACAAGCGACAAGTAAAAATGGGCGGGAAAGTTTTTTTATTGGAAGCGTACGTTCATCCGGGACATTTTGTCACCTAACTTCTTATATCTTCAAAAATAAAAATATGGAAAACACAAGTGTTTTTGTTTCTGCAAAACAGCATAAATGAGTTGAGAATCTATTCTCTCATTCCATGAAAGTGAATTCATTCCGATAAACAATCATGTGAAAATTAATGACAATGGTTCCATTAAAGTTTTGGAAACTCACCAGAAGATTTGCTACAGTAATGTCTGGTTTACTTGAAGGAGGTGGTTCCATGACATCCTTAAGTGTCGGTGTTTCGAAATCTAGCAATATAAAAAAAGTCTTAACAGTGCAAATCATTTATCCCAAAAATAGGAAAAGAAAAGGAAATTGTAATGCAGTTGTAATCAAATTTTTAATGTACGTTTTTGCGGAAGAGTAAATATGAATCTCAGCCCAGAATAGCATATTAATTGGGAACTTAATAAAAACTTTTTAAAGTACTAAAAATTTATTAAATACCTTGTCTTTTSTGATATGGGATTCCTTTGATAAACGGAATTGTCTGAATCACAAAATTCACAGATGGTTGTCCGTACATAATTGATAATGTGTTAAACTCGCTGAATAACTGCTCCTACAAAAAGGAAAACCCTTAATAGAAAACCAAAATAATGAACTACTAGAAAACAGTTTCATTCTATTGTACCTTAACATTGGCTAAGTCAGGTTTAAWRTTACAATTTTTGCTGTTTGSATTTTCTCGATAACCACACACAACCTCTTTAGCCTGAAAAGTAATGATAAAATACAACAAGAGTATTAAATATTTTTACCAAAGTAAATACAAAAAGTCAATACTTTTGTAAGTGCAATCAAAACACCAAACTTCACCAAACTGATTGAAACTCTTTTCTCAAAACCAGATAAGCATTGAAAACAATCATGCTCATAGTTCAATTTAGTTTAGAAAGGAGTCTTAACAGTTGAATCGTGAACTTTAGGAGCTTTTTTTGCTTTGAGTGACAATAGCAAAAACAGCAATCAAATGCTCTTGTACAAATGTAATCCCAACTATTTTTGAAATTTTCAGGTAACTTGAGGGAAACGACAGCCATCAACTACATCACTAAATTTAGTACAATAACACACATAARCTGAACTTATTAGTCATTAACAGCAGGTGATTGACAAGTCCATATTTACTACTAAATGACAGCTTACCATGTCAGTGCTTTCTTTYAACAGTCTATAGTACAGCAATGCTCTGTCATGGACATCAATATGTGTTTCATTATCTATTGCAGAATGAAAACACAGAATGAGTGAGAMAAATGAGAATTCCAATCCTTTCTCATTGTGAAGAATTTGGCTTTCTCAATAAATCAGCAAGTACATGTACAAGAATGAAATATGCATTTCAGCTGCTTCACTGGTTTATAGACGATTGTCATAATCTGACATCGCATGAGTGTAAATTGACAGTCACTGTCGAACAATTTCTTATTTTCCAAAAATCTTGTCATTTCCAATTTCTTTATGACCAGCCAGCCAGCAGTCTGGACATGGGATTAATGAGCCCTACAGGAATGATAATGACTTTACCTATGCAGTGTGCTAACAGGTTGCCTAATGAGGCTTGACACTCTGGAGGCCTTTTAAAAAACAACTTCATCATGGCTGTCAAGAGCTGCAATTTGACTTCTGCTGACTGTTCCTCTTCAAGTGTGTTGACAAGATTCTCCAAAATATAAGGACTCTCAGGAATACTCTAAAATATTAAAGAAAGTTCATCACTGTTGGAACAGAACTGTTGGAACCAATGTCATTCATATCAAAAAATAGAGTTAGAAAATTTGTCCTAGTAGAGTACCTGTCCATATTCCCCTAAAATCCACACAATAGCAGCTTTGGCATTGGGATTGTCAACAATATCAATACATTCTTTTAACTGTGGTAATACAGCAACTGCATGTTTCTCATACTCTGGCAATAAATCTGATAAAACAAGAATCACCTTCAGAATTAACTGTATATTAAGTGTTAGCATTAAAAACGATGAGAAGTGTTACTGATGAAAACACAATTTTCCCACCTACAGAATTATAAATCTTTGAAAATGCACATACAATAAAATGTTTTTGTTTTTCAGTCTTCATTGCTTGATTTCTTATTGGGATTATGGAATCATGTGATGATGCAAATTTTTGTAGAGTGCAAGCAATATATCTGTGAAATGATTAATCAATTTTACCTATTAGACAATAGGAAACAAAGGAACAAGCATAATTCTTGTTTATTTACATTTCTATAGCTATAATGTAAATCATATCTACAAGCATTTCACAGTATGTATTCTAGCACTCTGACTGCTTAACAATATCTCTTATATCATACATGATTTTTTGACAGGAGTAATTTTACTTTACTGACCTCTAACTACTATTAAGGTTTGTGCTGTAATACTTTCAGTTTCACAGGATAGAAAACTGAGTAGAGTATCTATACAGTACTCAGCAGCTCTAGGGAGGGATTGAGCTATTTTTCCTATTGCCTTGATGCATTCTTGACATAATTCAACATCAATATCATAAACAAGTTCACTACAGAGAAATAACAAACATATTGTAATTAACCATCATCAYCATCATCATTTTTCCTGATATTTGGGTTCTTAGAGTGTCGCCTCATATTTCCCCAATGTACTTCTGTCTAAGAAATGCGGCAACTGTAGCCACATGCAGAACTGCCTCTCAAATCTGGCCCAACTTGTTAAACATTTATCAAACAACATTTGTTTCTTCTGATTCACATATTTTAATGAGTAAATAAAAAAATTGCCAACATAAAAGCTAAGATTTAAATCATAAACATTGAAAGTTTGGTAGATGAGAAGATTGACTGACTAAAATAATAAATGTAACAAAACTGCCTATTGTACCTCAGCTCAGTGACAATCTCTTCCACATTTGATTTGGATGCAATTGTTGTCAAAATTTGAATCTTTTTTCTTCTAAGAAACAATGGGTCATTCAATCTGCAAAAGGATTTGTGAGGAAAAAAATCACAAGGATGTTBTCAGTGTGTTTTAAAAATCCTAGTATATGAGCACTGTTGATGCCAAGTGCCAAGATTCAGCAGCAAGACAAGTGAGGAAATTGTAGTGTCTTGTATTTAACATTATCCAATGGAGAAAGTTATCCACACTTTGTACATACAATTACATAATTTGTAGCCCTGCCACGCCATATACATACTGTAAATATCTTCAATCATGTGAATGTTGTGAATATTTACCTAAGAAAGAATGTTTTGTATTCACTATCAAGTAAGAGGGGAGTTCTAGAGAGAAGTAACTCAATATGACAMAGGGCAGCGTAGATAACTTCATAGTTTGTAGAGGACATCATTGAGATAAGTGGACCTAGAAAAAGAGAGTTAAAAWCCATAATTTTAACCAAGCAAGCCAACCCAGTGTTCGGCACTGTGTTGTAACAGTCAAACCTACTTATATGATTGTAACAAAACAATAGGAAAAACATTTTCACTATTAAGATCTGGACATCATAAGACAGTATGAAGCATAGTAACTGTTGCTATGAATAGTTATGCATGTATTCTCTAACAGACTACCTTTAACTCTTTGTACGACATCATTCATAAGTTCTTGGTTGTCTTTTGTTAGATGAAAAAACAGCTTTATAGTTGCCATGAC